TCTCTCTCTCTCTCTATTTCTCTTTCTCTTTCTTCCTTCTCCATCTCTCTCCCTCACTCCCATCTCTCTCTCTCTCTCTCTCTCTTCGAGCATCGCAGCTATCCCCGGTCCCGCCGCCTCTGCTGCTGCCAATTCATTACCGGCTCCACGTAGGTGAAGATAAACGCGATAAGTATCAATCAGGTAAAAGATGCTCGCGTGCTTTTCCCATAATTACATCGGCCCGGCGCTCCGGTCCCTACGGGAACCCGCGTTGCGTTTTTTGCTTTCATTATCTGGTCGCCCACCTTATGGGAGCCAGCGCTGCCAACCCACTGGCCTGCATTATGCATAAACGTCAATCAGAAAATAATAATTTATTAATAGCAAATCAAGGCAATGAATCATAACGGTTATTATATTAATTCGATCATGAAATAATAATCGGAACGGGGCGATCGCTGAATTATTCAGCGCCGAATCCCGGAGTTTAGAGGGAGCGCCGAATCGGATATTTAGAGGGAGCGCCGTTCCAGTGTTTAGAGAGAGCGATGTTTACCAGGAGATGAGTCTCTGTTCTGAGAGAAGCACCTGAATCTAAAACGCTAAAAAACAAAAGATGGCGGCCGTTGGCGCAATCTAATTTCAGCCGGTTTCGGACGGCGAAACTAACCAATAGAAATCCGACGATCCGATTAATCGTTAGATTAAAAGTGTTGAACATTTTAAACACGGAACAGTTTGTCTACGTTGCGTACAAGATTAAAGAACTATTGTACACAATTGGATACAATAACTCTGCGGACTGTTAATGGCATTATTGTAGATGACTGAGTACAATAATTGTGTACACCATTAATGAATTATAGTCCGCAATCAATAACAAGATCGAGTGCAAAGATCGCGCACACAATGACTGAATTGGATGGTCGGGCAGCACGGGGTGTCAGAGATGGACCGGTGAGGAGGTTTCGATTGGAATGGCGTCGTCATGAAACGTTAACGCAGCGATGATACGAGTCGTCGTTCTATCTACAAACCATCGTAAATAAATACGCGGCCGTTTTCCCTGCGTGCGACGTCACAGACAGCTTACGCACGTCGGCGAAATCGGACGAGTTGTCGACGCTTTGCCCTAACCTGGTAATCCTACCTCTGATAACAAAACGTACCTGCATGGAAGGCTCTCCAGCAGCTTTTCACATCAAACGCACGAGCATATTCATCATCATCATCATAATCGTCACCATCATCATCATCATCATCATCATCATCATCATCATCATCATCATCATCATCATCACCACCACCACCATCATCATCATCAGCAGCAGCAACAACAATAGCAGCAATAACAGCATCATCACCATCATCGTCATTGTCATCATCATCCGCAGCAGCAGCATCCTCATCATCAATATCATCATAATCAGCAGCACCCTACTAGCCATATATGTTTACACTTTACTAGCCTCACATGCTTACGTTTTCCAAGGCATACGTGCTTACACTTTCCTAGCTACACATACACGTTCCTAGCCGCATGCGCTTCCATATTCCCAGGCACCCGTGCTTACACTCTTCTAGCAACCCATACACTTTTCTAGCCACACATCAACTTTCCTAGCTACATACGCTTACACTTTCCTATCCAGAAATGCGTACACATTCCTGGTCACACATGCTTACTTTTCTAGTTACACATGCTTACACCTTCCTAGCCACGTACGCTTACTCTTACTCGATGACAGCCATCAACAACGCCTAGGTAGGTTGCCCTCCCCGTTTCACAGCGCACCGCCTGCTGTTATCTTGGACAATGTCCTTGACATGACAATGAAGCTGATACACTTACGTGACCCACTATAGCTTCGTAAACATCCTGGTATAGGTCGTCCGACTAGTCTAGCTGTTCTTACAAATACGCCTCTCAGATATCCATTATATATTATTTGACCCATCTGGTTATACCCACAATCAGTGTAGGCTACTAGATTACACTAGCATGATCTACATATACCTCTGACATATTCGCTATCTATTAAAGGAATAATAGGTCCATTGATTATGCAATGTTGACGAATGCTAGAGTAACTGGCACCTTGTGTAGTTAATAAGTACATTACCTTATAGCCAAACGCGTATTAGTTTGTCCAATATCACGGCTGCTTACATTACAAACAAGACTTGAAATCGGTTGTTGATATCGTATCAACGTATCATTTACGTGCCGTAAATGTCATCCAGGAGTCAAGCGATGACGTAAACAATTGTGCGGCCCGTATGTTTTGGACGCCAGATGAAACGGAGGTGTCAGCGGTGTAACCACGGCCACGGACTAAACATGGAAATAGAGTAAAACACACGTACTAATCACGGACGCACGTGGACAGCCCTGACAAAAAGTTCCTTATCACGAGCGTCCATGTTTAAGAAATCACTGATGATAGCATTGCGTACGGCCGAGCATGCGTGCGAAAATGTCCGGTGCACTATAAATCTGTATCACACCCGCTTCGCCGGCAGCGGTTTGAAACTGTAAACAACTGATTTTTGGACTGCAGACTTTAATTAGACATTTCTTAGTAACCAGCAGTGATATTGGACAAACTAATACGCGTTTGGCTATAAGGTAATGTACTTATTAACTACACAAGGTGCCAGTTACTCTAGCATTCGTCAACATTGCATAATCAATGGACCTATTATTGCTTTAATGAACACTACCTAAGAAGAAACATAGTGTGTAGTATCGGCTATTTGATCCGTCTAGTCTTCCTTACGTACAATACATCGCCCATAATATATCCATTACCTAGTATTTGAATCTTCTATCGATACCACAGCAGATTATTCTAGCTTTTCCTACATACACCTCCACCATATCCATTGTCTATTAGTGAACACTAACCAAAGGGAGACATAGTATCGGTGATTCGATCCTGCTACCTAGCCTGTCCTACATATAGTACTCTAGTCACTCAAGGGGAATGCCAAAAGTGACCCTGGCAGACCGGTGTCCATTCCACAAATCTCATCACTATTATAATAATAATAATAATTATTATTATTATTATCATAATTACTATAATTATTTTAATATTTACCTCTATTGTTTTTCTATGGTTTATGATGTTGTTACATAAACATGCCCCCGTGAGTTCCTAACACTGCGCGCTTGCCTAACGGGTCTATCGCTCGCCCACGTTCACGCCGCTAAGTTACTCAAGGTAAGTCCCACACGCTTACATACCCGCGTAACTGTCTGTCGCGCGAATGCGACGCGTGTCTGATTCGGTAACTTTAACTCTGCTCGCAATGCGGGTCAAGTGCTGTCCGGTTGTACACCCGCGGGCGCATTACACGGGTTAAATACTACCGCCGGGTACTATTATCTTGTGACGTGAACGTAAAAGAGTTAAATCCCACCCGCGACTAGTATATACCCGTGTAATTTTATCTATTGCTATGCACTCTCGATGTATTGCTCACCTGGTATATATCTATTACTACTGCTATGCACTCTCGAAGTATTGCTCACCTGGTATATATCTATTACTACTGCTATGCGCTCTCGAAGTATCGCTCACCTGGTATATATCTATTACTACTGCTATGCGCTCTCGAAGTATCGCTCACCTGGTATATACCTATTACTACTGCTATGCGCTCTCGAAGTATCGCTTACCTGCATGGTATATATCTATACTACTACTGCTAGCCGGTCTCGAGGGTGATCAGCTTACAGAGTCTATATCTATATTATATTTATATAGAGCTGCTATTAAGCACTCGTGAGGCTTACCCGGTCGACGTTGCTGACGTTGTTATTCCTGATCATCAGGTCGAATTCCTCGTTGATCTTGTTGTATTTCTCCTCGGTGCGTGGTGTGAGCACGTACTGCTGCTCAGACTCCGACGGAGGGCTCTCGTTTCCCTTGTTCTCTTTCTTATTTAATAACTGCAGCGAACAAAAGAGAGAGAGAATGAGGGGCAAGCAACGAGGTGTCAGATACCAACGATATCAGTACCATTGGGGTGTCACCAAATCTTAGTTGTCACCAACATTGGGGCGTCACCAAATCTTAGTTGTCACCAACATTGGGGTGTCACCCACTTTGGGGTGTCACCAACAGACGGGAGGGCTTCAGCAACACTGGGGTGTCACCAAACTTTGGTTTCACTAACTGTGGGGGGTGTCACCAACATTGGGGTGTCACCACAAGCGTTAGGACTCGAGCTTCATTTGAGTCCAACCAACATTGGAGTGTCACCATAATTTGGCATTACCACTTTTCACGGACAAATTCAGCAGAGCTTAGCCTTGATGACGGACAGCGTAATAACGAGGCAACAATGATACATGACACACCTGTCGCGCTACCATCTGGGAGGCAGACTACCACCTCCACCTCGTGGGGGCAGACTACCACCTCCTCCATACCGGGTGAAGGCAGACTTCTATATCCATCTCCTTGGGGGGGGGCAGACTACCACCTCCACACTCTACTAGAGGGCATGCTACGACCTCCCCTTGCCGCAGAGGCCACGCTACCACTTCTTCTGCACGCCCCCGAGGGTACGCTAAAACCTTCACCCTCCCCACAGGTGCGCTATCACCTAACCCTTCTCCTAGCGGGGCAGACTACAGCCTCACCGCACTCAAATTTATAACCTATACGATGAAATCCACCCGCAGCCCTTCCGACAGTCAAGAGCTTCGGCGTACGACTCTCCCGAGGGAGCATGGTGTATGGAGGAGGAGGAGGCGGAGGAGGAGAAGGAGGAGGAGGAGGAGCGAAACGCATGTTAGCCGTGACCACGCTGCCCGCCCCAGTGTTTCATCATCTAATTAAATATGCTGTGTGTGGGATGAGGGAGGGAGGGAGGGGGACGACTGCGCGGCAGAGAAACGTTTGCGAGAGTTTATGGCCGCACGTGTGTGCGCGCGCACGCGAGCCTACTGCCGGATGTTTAGACTCGTCTAATGCGAGCTAACGGCTCATTAAAACATGGCGAAATTTACGAATATTCGTTCGTTAGGTTTGATTCCGCTGTCGAGCTGTCAGTCTATATACGGCCACACGGGCAGCAGGGCTGCAGTAGAACATCTCTCCCGCGCGCCTCAAACAAGGTCTGACTCTCGCAGACACTCAAGGTCGATGCACGCACGCACGCGCGCACACACGGACGACCACAAGAGACACACGTACAGACGCACGCATGCAGGCAAGCACGCACATAATGACACAGAAGCTACACGTTCAAACACACCGCGCACTTACACACATGTAAGCACGAACATATGGACAAACACAGATAGGCGCACGCACGCGCGCAGACACAATGGCACGTACGTGCCGGCAATAGCGTAATGTATTGGATGCATGCACGTACACACACAACACCGCTTTACTTAGCTGATGCCTCACACAAACGTGCGAACAGATTTATTGTACGCGGGCACATGCTGCCGTACACAATGCACCTATACTTCACACGTATGCGCGCGGACACGCACATGTACCGTACGCCACACACGTCGACTCAATAACATTTATAAGCACACTCACGCGCGCGCACACGCACGCACGTGTACGCCACATACGTCATCACGCATATAGACACACATGGACGCACGCACGCACGCACGCACGCACGCGCGCATATATTTCACGTGACATAGCTCTACCTATGTAGCCCTGCGCTACTAGTGCCAGACGTAAATAAGCTCATAATAAAATGATTTTATATTTATTAAAAAAAAAGATTTATTACCATTTGAGATCATTTACGCCTGCTTGTATATATCTATAGTGTGACGTAGCGATGTTGCAGCTACGCATCTCGTCGGTGAAATGTGAGATTTCGCGTGACACTGGGGCTAGCTACCAAGCTACGCGACGTTCCCGCAGCAGACGCGCTAGCCGACCCTCGCTCGACCTCGTACAAGCACCCCTGGCATTTATTGCGTATGGGGGCGCTGGTTTTTTTCATTAATGAAAGAACCGGTAGCAAGAAACCCGAGTGGACGCGATAAGAGTGGGAGGAGAGAGATGAGGAGGGGTGGGGGCGAATATGAGAAACATATGGAGGTCGTAAGAGTGTGGGGGCACGGAGGGAGAGTTGTTGGGAGAGAGCGAGAGAGGGGATGGAGAGATACAGCAAAAGATGGAGGGGAGGGAGGGGAGGGGAGGGGAGAGAGACAGAGACAGATAGATAGATAAAACAGATGGCTATATGGATAGATAGATAGATAGATAGATAGATAGATAGATAGATATATAGATAGATAGATAGATAGATAGATAGATAGATAGATAGATAGATAGATAGATAGATAGATATAAGCAAATAGAGATAGAAGACAGACAGAGAAGACATAACGGACGGACGAACGGAATGATGGATGATAGATAGAATAGATAGCTAAATAGATAGCATAGATAGTAGATAATGGAGAGAGAGAAAGGAACCGAGTGAGAACGCGATCGGGCAGGGGAAAGAGGGAAGGCACAGACCGAGATTGAAGAGGGAGAAGAAGGAGAAAAAGAAGAGAAGAAGAAGAAGAAGAAGAAGAAGAAGAAGAAGAAGAAGAAGAGAAGAAGAAGAAAAGAAGAAAGAAAAGAAGAAGAAAGAAGAAGAAGAAGTAAAATACGACGAAAGAAGAAGGAAGATAGGGTGGTACGCATGACGAGAATGGCGTGGCGGAGAGAATGGCAGTGATAGCAGTCATCGGGAGAACGAAGAGTCAGCTGTAGGGACACGAGCGTGCGCGACATACAGCCAGTAAAGAATGCACGGACGCGCCCGCATGTAGTAACTATACACCCGCGCAGCAACAACACCAGCAGCAGCAGTA